AGAGGGCAAGAGAGGGGAGGGAGAACACCCCTCAAAGACGGGGGTGCGAGGGTCACCACGAGAGGCTCCTACAGCGACTATACTCTTCTCTGCTGCTAGGAGGGCCTTCTCGAGGAGGTCAACAGAGAGAGTGGTGGGGCAAACTCAGAGGAATTGGTCCCTGACTACGCGGAGAGAGTCAGGGAGCCGGGTGACTATGTAGTAGAGGGTGATGTACATGGGGGGGGGGGTTCTTGGCGCAGAACTCAGCAGGAAGCGCAGCACGGTAGCGAGTGTCACTAGTGCGGAGGTGCGTAATGAGGTCAGCGACTGTGGGAAAGGCAGCAAGGTCAGGGAAGAGGTACGGTAGCATGAGGCGGCTCAGTGCAGCAGTGGCAGGGGAAGAGTAGCGTGCAACTACAGCGTCGTACAAGGTCTGAGCACTCTTGTACTGGCTAAAGTGTGCACGCTCAGTGGTCGGTAAGTGGCGGCGCACAGCAAGGCGAGCAGCAACATCGCGCGTGGCCCACTGTGAGCAAACAGTGCTGTTAGCAGTGGCAGGCGGGGCAGGAGAGACACCAGAGGTGAGATCGAACAGAGAGAGTCCGTCTGCCCTATCGCACTGGAGAAACAGCTGGAGGTCATCGACCCAGACCTCAAAGTCAACGGCACGGCCCTCAGCATCAAAAGTAAGGACACTGGGGGTAGCCATGACTGAAGTGGCCTAGCAGGAAGTGAGCTCACCAGTCCGAGGAAGGAGGGCCGGGGAGCACCGGTAGGAACAGTAGCGGCTCGACAGTAGGGCGGCTCAGCGGCTCGGCGGCAGGGCGGCTTGGCTGCTGGGCGGCTCGGCTGCTGGGCGGCTTGGCGGCAGGGCGGCTCGGCTGCTGGGCGGCTCGGCTGCTGGGCGGCTCGGCGGCAGGGCGGCCCGGCTGCTGGGCGGCTCGGCTGCTGGGCGGCTCGGCGGCAGGGCGGCTCGGGTGCTGGGCTGCTCGGCGGCTTGGTCGCTGGGCGGCTGAGCGGTGACAGGGCCGCTAGGGGAGGGCGACGGGGCGGCAGGTGACGGCGACGGGGCCGTAGGTGGCGGCGAGGCCGCAGGTGGCGGCTGCGTGGCCGCAGGTGGCGGTGACGGGGCCACAGGTGGTGGCGATGGGGCCCCTGGTGGCGGCGACGGGGCCGCACGTGGCGGCGACGGGGCCGCAAGGGGCCTAGATGGGGCCGCGGAGGGGCCGTAAGGGGCCTAGACGGGGCCGTAGCGGGGCCGCAAGGGGCCTAGACGGGGCCGCGGAGGGGCCGTAAGGGGCCTAGACGGGGCCATAGCGGGGCCGCAAGGGGCCTAGACGAGGCGGCGGAGGGGCCGTAAGGGGCCTAGACGGGGCCGTAGCGGGGCCGGAAGGGGCCTAGACGGGGCCGCGGAGGGGCCGTAAGGGGCCTAGACGGGGCTGTAGCGGGGTCGCAAGGGGCCTAGACGGGGCGGTAAGGGGCCGGAAAGGGCGCCGCGAGGGGCCGAAAGGGGCCGCGCGAGGGCCGTAAGGGCGACGCGAGGGGCCTTAAGGGGCCGTAAGGGGCTGTAAGGGCGGCGCGAGGGGCCGTAGAGGGCGGCGCGAGGGGCCGTAAGGGCGGCGCGAGGGGCCGTAAGGGTGGCCAAAGGGGCCGTGAGAGGGGCCACTAAGGGCGGCTCAAAGGTAGGGAGGGCACACAGAGCGCGACTCGGGCAGGAGTGAAGCGCGCTCCGGGCAGGAAAAAAAAAGTATCGTGGTGGGCCCTAGGTAGCGTTCCCACTAGGGAACCTGCTCTGATACCATGATGAGAAACGAGGATGAATGCATTGAGTAGAATTTGGAGTACAAGTAGTAAACCCTAAAGTGTTGTACCCCATATGGACTGCCCCACTACAGCCTACAAAGACTATAGCATATATGCCTGACAACGACCCGTGTGGGGATGACAGCGCAGAGGAGGAACATTCCTCGAAAGTGCCACCATCAAAGGAGCGCAAAGAACCAGCCACTGGCTATGTAGCATGCGAAGAATTTGAGGAGTTGCGTGATTCCCAGATGGAAACCGCAAAGACAATGGCTCGTCTGGAGACACACGTACTCACTATTATTGCTCTTGGCGGGGAGCGTAAGCGCAAGCGAGCATCACCGCGTGCAACGGCATCGCGCGAAAGGGACACCGTGAAGCAGAAACGCCAGAAAACTGATGATGACGCATCCACATGCGATGAGGACGAGCTGGAGACGAAAGTGGCACAGCACAGGAGTGCCGACAAGTCGCCACTGCTCCAAAATGCTCTTGATATCCTACCTGCAGAGAAGGCATGGAAGGTGAGCGTTTACTGATAACGTGATATTGGCTTCAAATTTTCGGCCATATAGATTTCGTCACCATTTTCACCCCCCCCGCAACGAATTTTTCTTTGTCGCAGGGAGTGTCAGTAGAGCTACACTGTGAGATCCCCGATCGATCCTAGGGGGGGTTACAGGCGCGTTTTCCTGGGGGGTTATGGGCGCACTGACCCGCTACTGAAACAAGCCCTTTTATCCCAATAGTCTAGTGGTTGGGATTCTGACATGGTATCAGAGCAGTCTCGGGTTCGAATCCCGGTGTATGCACATGTTGGCCGTTGCCACTGTGCTCAGTCCTAGGCCTCCCAGTGTGGGGGGGTGTCAGTAGAGCTACACTGTGAGATCCCTGATCGATCCTAGGGGGGGTTACAGGCGCGTTTGCCTGGGGGGTTATGGGCGCACTGACCCGCTACTGAAACAAGCCCTTTTATCCCAATGGTCTAGTGGTTGGGATTCTGACATGGTATCAGAGCGGTCTCGGGTTCGAATCCCGGTGTATGCACATGTTGGCCGTTGCCACTGTGCTCAGTCGTGGGCCTCCCAGTGTGGGGGGGTGTCAGTAGAGCTACACTGTGAGATCCCCGATCGATCCTAGGGGGGGTTACAGGCGCGTTTGCCTGGGGGGTTATGGGCGCACTGACCCGCTACTGAAACAAGCCCTTTTATCCCAATGGTCTAGTGGTTGGGATTCTGACAGGGAGTATGCGACCTGGTAAAGGATCATCTGCTTCTAGAAGCCTCGAACGAGAAAATGGACTTCTATCCGAGCCTCGACACCAAAATTGCCAACCTTTGCCACGTGGTGGCCACGATTCGCCCCAAAACTGCGACACTAGCTTTAGACGCCGATAAGGCACGTTGACATGATCTGAACAAGACATTGTCCGAGTACAAAACAGGCTTGGCCGGGTGCGTTCGCGACGTTTTTCTTCCCCGTCTTAGTCTTTTCCGTGACGACGAGTGTCAGAATATTATGTTTCTCTAGTCTGCAGTGGGGTACTCTATGGTGAGTACAACCCTTTTAGGGTTTGCTATATGTATCCCAATGTTTGCTAGTGAACCCCCTCCTCTCTTCTTTCATTCCTCATTTCTTCACAACGAGGACCAGGACAGCCCTTGGGCACGTAAAGCGGAACGCACTCCGCTTCGTGTTCGCATAAGATATGGCCCAACCATGGAAGCTGAGGGTGCGTGCTCGCATGTCATATGGCCGCTGTAATTGGAACCACGCCATGATCGCAATGCCAGCGCGTACCACCACGAACACTCACCCTTCCCCCTCACCCATGCCTTCTACCCTTGTACACATGTCAATTGTTGTGTGCGTAGTGGACCACGCCTTGTGTAGGTGGCACTTCAGCAAGGATGGACTGCCCTTTGCGTCCAGAGCGTTCTCGGCGTGTGCCATCTCGGCGTTTGGTGGGAAGCGAGAAGAAAAGGAAACAACTTTAAAGCTCTACCACATGTCGTGGCTCGAGCACCTGGTACGTCCACTAAGCCACGCACATATGGTGTTGTAACGTCCATACAATTCTCCGTTGTAACCAGTGTCTCTTGCCATTGCAGATAACGGATGCCATTATCAACTGGGATGTGCGCAAGGGGAAGCTGCATAATTTTCCTTGCGAGAACGGCGCATCGGTGCGTCGGATTCAGAAATTGGCGTTTGATGCCATTGCGGTTGTCGTGTGCGAGAATGACGGGGTTGTGTATGACGAGGTGAAGAAGTCCTAGAAGATGGGCAGGCATGGGCTCCGTCTATCATCTTGCGGGCTGGAATCCTTACTGGAGGATGGCGAGGACTCCGAGGACGGCGGTAACGAGTCTGACGCCCTCTCATCGGATAGTGATTCCGAGGCGTGAGAGGCGGTGTGGATTGGGCAACAACTATAAATCCATTTGTATGATGTGGGCTGAAGGTGTTAAGATGAGGCAATGTGTACTGATTGATGTTGTGGTACTTTTGAATAACTAGACAAAAACATTACAAATACGGTGACAAATATGGGCGACCGTGCAGTTGTTAGACCCACGGCCATACGATACCCATTATCGAGTACGCCGTGCATTGCGGCGCCATTCTCGCGGCGTAATTTGCAGCATGTTGGATATGGGCCGTTAGATGCGATTGTACTCGCACGACGTGTGTAAATGGCAATCGTACAATCCGCGATGTGGGCATCCTTGATACAGTATTTATAATAGGCACTGATTTATCGTCCAGTGTCTTTTTGCCACATGGGTGATGGAGGTGTTCACGGGTGTAATATCGTGCGCTACGCGAGTGTTACATGTGGCGGGACGAGTGGCATTAGGTGTCCTAGTTGGACAAATATTTTCCAAGATCCGACGGCGTATGTATGTGCATAGATATTGCATGACTAATCGCACACGCACATCTGTGATCGGACGGATGGTCGCGATGAAGTGTATCCGTAAGATTACTGTAGCTTGACGGCCTATCCGAAAAGGCCAGATGTCGTGACCGGTTGGAACTGTGAAACATGGGATGCGAAAATCGCGATCGTACACCTGAGGCCATCTTGACCCTACATGCGGCACGGTATGATTTGTCGGAGATGGGGAGCCATCTGGCATAAAGCGTGATTCCACATGGATGTTTCATGATGACGTGGAATAGTGACTTCACAAATGCTCAAAGATAGCAATATGGCGACACGCAGATGTAATCGTATGGTGTCTGCTCCTATCAGCCAACTTTTCGGGCCTTGCTCTTTTGCAATGCGTGATGTGCTGTGGCTGATGGGAGCAGCAGACTTGGCCAGGGAAGAACCAGACGGTTTTTTCCCTTCACTACAGGCTGCTGTTGATGAGAGGCCCACGTAAGGCGACCAGGGGTGTGCGACCAGGGGTGCACGACCAGGGGTGTGGGACCAGGAGTACGTGACCAAGATAAGCGGCCAGGAGTGTGCGACCAGAGGTGTGCTACCAGGAGTGTGCGACCAGGGGTGTGCGTCCAGGGGTGTGCAACGAGGGGGACGGAAGCAGGCATGTGCGAGCAGAGGGTGCGAGGAAACCAGATGCTGAAGTGGCTGTCCCATTCCGCCCTCCCAGCTGTCGACTTGTTTGCAACCAGGGCAATGGCAGCTGACGTCACGGGGAGCCAAACGCTGGCAGCTGACGTCATGGGGAGCCAAACGCTGGCAGCTGATGCCATGGGAAGCCATACGCTGGCAGCTGACTTCATGGGAAGCCATACGCTGGCAGCTGACGTGTTTGGGAGCCATAATTGGGCCGCTGACGTCGTGAGGAGCCATACGCTGGCCGCTGACGTCATGTGGAGCGAGTTTTTGAAGTGACAAATGCGCTTTCCATGCCATCAACTTCACCGCCCTAGTTGCACATACGTGTTGCAGTCTGCATATCATGTGTGTCTGAGGCGCATCATGGCAGGGTCCATGCTGCACGCACAGATAGACACATGGACACATGGGGATATGGCCACACAGACACATGGGCACAACAATTGCTGGCTGCACTGTGGACAGGCAAAGGCGTGATGCAGCACGAGCGCTCCACCTCGTGCCCGTGCGTCTGTGGTGGGAGTGGATGTGACAGCGGCGTAAAGCTTGTAGCATTTTCACGAAGTTGATTTCATGTTTTGCCAGTGTTAGCCAGCTGAAGGCAGCACACCGTTGCATTGCGTTCAACAAGTACACATGATGCTCAATTGCATTCCTGCATGTCTTATGTGGCGTGAGAACGATTGTGACCGAGAGGACAAGAAGACTTCAACGGTTACACAAACGCTGTGTGGCTCTCTCAAGGCCATTAAATGGGACTTTTGTATGGTAGCATTGTGCTATGTTCTTGAGGAAAACCGGCACCTCCGCACATGAGTAGCCATATGTCTCAAGAGCCGAGCGCAATGCCTATTCTCATAATGCTTAATCTTTTTGTCCGCTTGTTCACTCATGGCCCTCTGCCTTTCGTCCCGTTGGGGGCCCGTGCGTGTCAAACTTATATGCTATAGTCTGTGTAGGCTGTAGTGGGGTAGATAATATGGGGTACAACACTTTTAGGTTCACTACTTGTACCCACCTGCTTCCTAGTCCACTTTCATTGCCTCGTACTATTCTCACATGGTATAGAGCGGGTTCCCTAGTGGGACCGTTTTTTTTAGGGCCCAACACTTCATTTTTTTTTTCCTGCCCTGCCCAAAGCGCGCTCCCGTCCCTGCCTGCCCTATCGCGCGCCTCGCGCCTGCCTCACCTGCGCCCCGTAAGCCTACCTTGCCGTCGCGGCCCTGCTTGAAGCCATCGCGGCCCTGCCCTGCCGCTGTCGCGGCCCTGCCCTGCAGCCGCCATCGCGGTCCTGCCTCCCGCCGTCGCGGCCCTGCTGGTCGCCGTCGCGGCCCTATCTGCCGCCCTCACGGCCCTACCCTGCCGCAGTTGCGGCCCTGTCTGCCCCGACGCGCACCTGTCCTGTCGCAGTCGCGGCCCTGCCTGCCACTGCCGCGGCCCTTCCTACAGCCGCAGTAGCGCCCCTGCCTCCAGCCGCAATTGCGGCCCTTCCTACAGCCGCAGTCGCCGCCTTGCCTACCGCCGCAGTCGCGGCCCTGCCTCCAGCCGCAGTTGCGGCCCTACCTACAGCCGCCAATGTTGCGGCCCTGCCCTGCGCCCGCGTCGCCGCCCTGCACTGACGCCTTGTTGCGGCCCTGCCTAACCCAGCCCTCACCTGCAGCCACGTTGCGGCCCTGCCCTATTGCCTCGTCGCAGCCCTGCCTATCGTGGCCCTGCCTATCGCGGCCCCTGCCCTGCCGGCGCGCCATGGCCCTGCCCTTCCAGTCGTGGCCCTACCCCAATCCCGCCCCTGGTAAGCGCACCGCCGCACCCGCGCCGCCCTGCCCAGCCGCGCCGCCCTGCCGAACCGCGCCACCCTGCCGAGTCGCGCTGCTGCTGCTGCTGCTGCTACTTCTACTGCTACTGCCATATTCTGCGCCAAGAACCCCCCCTTATGTACATCACCCTCTACTACCTCGTCACCCGGCTCCCTGACTCCCTTCGTCTAGTCATGGACCATTTCCTCTCCCTTTGCCCCACCGTGCTCACTGTTGACCTCCTTGAGGAGCGCCTCCTTGCAGCTGAGAAGAGTAAAGTCGCTATAGGAGCCTCTCGTGGTGACCCTCGTGCCCCTTTCTTTGAGGGGTGCTCCCCTGTCCCCCTCTTGCCCTCTGTTGCCTCTGTTGGTGTCGTCGACCTCGTTGGCACTAAGACGGTCGGTGCTACGTCTACTCCTAGTGGGAGACGCTGCAGCGGCAAGGGCAAGGGGGGCAAGGGTGGTGCAGGGGACGGCAGGGGCGGCGGTGGTGGCGGTGGTGGCGGCGGTGGAGGAGGTGGAGGGGGTGGCGGTGGAGGATGGGGAGGCAGCGGGAGTGGGGGCTTAGGTGGGGGTGGTGGAGGTGGAGGCGGCGGCGGCAGCGGCAGTGGGGGTGGAGGCGGCGGTGGAGCTGGTCAGGGTGGCGCTGTGCAGCGCAGAGGCTTTAGCGGTGGCCAGCGCCAGCAGCAGGAGCGTTCTCGTGAGAACCTGTTGCCTCAGCAGCTTCGTGAGTGGTACGCAGGGCGGGGGAGGTCTGGAGGTGCTGGTCCCTGCGCTTACGTTCTCCGCACCGGCGAGCGAATTGGAGAGACATGCGGCGGCCCGCACGACACACACCGCTGTTTCGGCCGCCTGACGGACGCTTGTGATGTACAGTTTCCTGACGCCATTGAGATCCCTCGCTGGGGTGATCTGCTGAAGTCGGGGGCTGCTATCTTTGATCTTGATTATAATGCTATCCTTGCTACTATGTATGCTGTGTCTGTTAGAGCTGAGGGTAACTGTTACCTGTGTGTTCCGCCCGACCCGAGCATTAAGGCTGCTGCTCTAGGTGATAGTGAGTCTGCTGCTCCAGGTGCTAGTGAGTCTGCTCTCTCAGGTACCGCGTCGGCTCAGGTCTTGCACACTTTCACCCTTGATTCGGGTGCTTCCCGCTCCTTCTTTCGCGACTGCACCACACTCACGCCGCTCAGTCGGCCAGTGGCAGTCTCCCTGGCTGACCCCTCTGGGGGTCCGGTCCTTGCACACTCCTCCACGGTTCTGCCGTGTCTGGCGGTCCCGTCTGGCTCTCTGTCTGGCCTCCACCTCCCCTCGTTCTCCACGAACTTGGTGAGTGGAGAAGACCTTCACGACACGTGGGATGACCAGTTCACTCCTGGAGGTCAGCGGATGACCCACTGTACGTGTACTCGTATGGGCCAGCACCTGGCCATGTTTACCCGTCAGCCTGGGTCGAGCCTGTACACCCTGTCTACCGTGTCTTCTCTAGTTACTGGGTCTGGTCAGGTGGTCGCGTCTGATCAGGTGTTTGCGGTGGCGTCCCGGTCAGGTCCTGAGTCTGCCCCCTGCTCGTGTCGTCTCCTGTCTCACCAGACTCTCCTCTGGCACCACCGCCTTGGTCACCCCTCCCTGCCTCGTCCCGGAGGTATGGCCTCCTGTGTCCTTGTCACTAGTCTCCCCCAGTCTCTCCCTCCCCTCCCTCCGGGGCCTGCCCCTACCTGCGTTCCTTGCGTCGAGGGGCAGCAGCGTCCCGCTCCTCACTCTTCCGAGTTCCCTCCAAAGGAGGCTCCCCTGCAGACTCTTCACATGGATGTGTGGGGCCCAGCCCGCATCCGTGGACAGGGTCACGAACGCTACTTTCTGCTGGTCGTTGACGACTACTCGCGCTACACCACAGTCTTCCCCTTGCGCCGCAAGGGTGAGGTCACTGAGGTGCTGATCGACTGGATCCGCACTGCCCGTCGTCAGCTCAGCGAGATTTTCGGCTTGGACCTTCCTGTTCTGTGTCTGCACTCCGACAGAGGTGGAGAGTTTTCCTCCAACCTTCTGCGAGCCTTCTGTCGAGCGGAGGGCATCCGCCAGACGTTCACGCTTCCGGCCTCTCCGCAGCAAAATGGGATTGTTGAGTGCCGCATTGGCTTGTTCATGGACGTCGCGCGTACGTCCATGATCCATGCGGCTGCTCCCCATTTTGTGTGGCCGTTCGCGGTCCAGTACGCTGCGCGTAAGCTCAACCTCAAGCCCCGGGTCTCCATGCCGGAGATCACACCTTCTCTGCGGTGGACGGGGAAGGTTGGCAATGCGTCGGCGTTCCGTATCTGGGGATCTGGAGCTTTTGTCCGCGACTTGTCTGTGGATAAGCTATCCTCCAGTGCTGTTCCCTGCGTCTTCCTTGGCTTCCCCCCTGACGCGCCTGCTTGGCAGTTTTACCACCCCACCTCGCGTCGTGTTCTGTCCTCTCAGGACGTCACGTTTAATGAGTCGGTTCCTTACTTCTGTCTCTTCCCCTACCGCACTCCCCACCTCCCCCCCCCGCCGCTCTTCCTCGCGCCAAGTCCTCCACCGGTAGACCCCCTCCCCCCTGAGGGTCCTGCCCCCTCAGCTGTGTCCCAGGTAGACGCAGTCGAGCCTGTCGAGGTAGCTGTTGACTCTGGTGCTGCTAGGGGTACTGAGCCTGCGGGTGCCGGGTCTGAGCGTGTGCATCTGGAGCTTGGAGGGACTGAGCCTCTAGGTCCTTTGGGTGCTTCATCCTGGCGGGAGCCACTCTCTCCACCGCAGCTGCGCGAGTGGTTTGCTCGGCGCTGGAGCCGTGCTACTGAAACTAGCGGTGCTACAGGCGCTAGAGGTCCTGCTGCTGATGGAGCTGCAGGGGGTTCTGGAGCCACTTGTCCTTGAGGTGCTCGTACTGGCGGTACTGGAGCTGCTGGGCCTGGTGGTGCTGGAGTTGGAGGTGCTGCTGGAGCCGGTTCTCCTTGGGGTGCTGGAGTTGGCACTACTGAAGCTGCTGAAAGTGCTGATGGAGCTGGTGGTGGTGCTAGAGTTGGAGCTGACGCTGGGGGTACTGGTGCTGTTCCTACTGGTTCTAGAGGCGCTGCGCTGCCGCCGTCGTACTTCGTTCTGCTCCTTGAGCAGGTTCTTGGTCTCCCGCCTTCTACTGGTCCTGCTCCTTCATTAGAGTCTTCACCGCCTGTCCAGTCACAGTCACAGCTATAGCCCGCCTCCCCATTGCTTGCTCCTTCTCCTTACACTTGTCTGGCCGGAGGTCTTGTTGAGCGTCGTGAGCCTGCATCTCGTCCTGCGTCGCTTGTTCGTGCTGCTCGCACTAGTCCTCGTGGTTTTCGTTAGCGTCCTCATCCTGTCCCTGGCAAGCACCAGATGGCTCTGCGTCCTTCCACTGCTCCGCAGTGTGTCCCTCAGTCGTCTCCTCCTACGTCCTCCCTTCCTGTCGGTCCGGACCCGGAGTCTGACTCCCTTCGTGCTG